AACAAAACAAAAAGAGAGAGGGATAAAATTGTAAACATTAGACTTGCAATAAATTGAACATGTACAGAGAACCTCAACCTTGCATATAGATGTAGAAATATGGCTTCTAGAACTGATTAATATGGTATATAATTTATTACAAACAAACAAATTTACTATATACCATATTAATAATATTTGCAGTAATATGTTGTGCCCTGGACACCAGCTGCCAAGCAATCGAGTTACAAGGATATAAAAACACACAGCTCGTGATGATAATTGCCTATAAGACCACATCTGATTGCCATTAGTGGTTTTCAAAATAGAGTGTAATATTATAGAGGACAGCAAACTACAACTTGACAAGTTATTGAAAATTAACCTCAAATAAAAATTTGATGCAGAGCTGAAAGAATAATCAAAATTTGAATGGGCTGAATTTTTTTGAAATTAGGATATATTGTGACAGAAAATCCATCATATATTTCACAAATTTGTCCCACAAACAATACATTTATAAGTATATTTTGAAAAACAGAATGACACTGTAATGTCATAATGCAGATTCAAGCACAACAAATGCACAGAAGCACTTACTTTTTTTGTTTTGTGGGATTGATATCCAGATGAGCGGCAACATTTGCAAGTGTGTGATCGAGATCTCCAGTATCGCTATTCAATAAATCAATGTGTTTAACTTCTGGTTGTGTTTGACCACTGCTGGACATCGGCAACAAAATATCCCCCAGTGGATCATCTAGACAAATGACGGAAAGTGTGGAATTGGGTGAATAGATTATAGAACATATAGACAGTGTCAACATATTTCAATGCGAATTCCAAAATAGATGCTGCACATACTGGTTTAAGCACCCACTAATGCGAGATTCGTCTAATCAGTGCATAAAAGAAAAGGTTAATACCCTTCTGTTCCTCAAATTAATCATTATGATGCTACGCTATTTCAATCCAAATGTAGCGTGCACAAAATCGAATGATTCTGAACGGCCCCGAGTATGTGGCAGAACAACCCTACACGTATCAGATCAGCTATTCAGCAGAGGGCAGTATCATGCATAGGAAATGTATTAACAGGTATGACAGCATTGAACAATACCAATGATTCTCCTGTTACAGCTAACATTGTTCTAAAGATGCACTGACAGGAGAAACACTATGCCTGCCAGAGCGCCCTAGCTCTTAAGCCGATAAGACATGCCACTAACGCAGAGATTGGACTAACGAAAAAATGTATGCTACTTCACTGGGGTGCCAGTCAGATACTGATATACATTTTGTTGGAATTATGAAAAACTTACTATACATGTAGAAATTCACATTTTATAAACAAAATAAGCTCAAAAACGATGGAAATCAAGGACCACAACATTTTCCTTTGTGCTTACAATTTAATTTTTCTTTTTGAAGACCTCTCTACAGCAGTCAAAAAAACGATTCAACTGGATTTTGACGTTTTCATTTTGATTTTGACATTTTTAATCACCACAACATCAGTCCTACTAGAGGGCATACTGATGGCTTGTGAATAATCCTTGTAAACTGTTCTCCAAAACAAAAATGTTGAAAAAACATCAATAATTACTGGTCCAGGTTGCACTTAGTAGTGAGATATTACTAGACAGTACTTTTTTAGTCCAGGACATGCATCCAAAGGGAAGAGTCCTCAGACATCTCCATTTTCAGTCCAGGACATGCATCTCCATAGCAACCCTGAATAATTCTGTCCTCATATCAGAATTGTACTACAATACTAGAAAGAACACAGATTTATCAAATTTACATGATGCAATGAAAGGCCATTCCCTATTGGTGGCAGATAGTAAAGTCAGCATCAGTATGAAACTCGTCCATTGATTGGACAATAAATGTCACATGCTCTCGGGTAGTACAATATTCAAAGACTGGATTAAAGCTAAAGAGAATATGAAACCACACACCAAAATAGGAAACAACTACTGGTAGTATTTCGTGCAGCTGTTTTGAAAATGTGATTCAGTTGTTAGTTCTCTCATACGCTTACCTTTGAGAGCGGCATCAGGCGTTTTGCCAAATGCTTTTTCAAAATCGGCCCCTATAGCCTGGACGTTATTATTTGTGAAACCTGTGTACAGGGAGAGGATAGGAGGCAAAGCACCAACAATGGTTGAATAATGGATTCTACACATCAATATAGACTCACACACACACCAGCAGTGGCTTTTACCATCAACATTAATCAAAGTTGTGTGAATGATCAAGAGAATTCAAAGTTATTTTTAATCTAATGTATACAGAACTTTGATCATAACGTAATTTAGTATGTTCTGTGCATTACTGATTCATTATAACCAATTTTTAATTTTGCTATGAATTTAAGGATGCTGCAGACTTCTCAAATTTGGTATGCGACAAATCTACTTGAATTTACGGGAAATCATTTACTTTTGTTGTAGTCAAAATTCTACTGGTGTATTTTGGGGGCAAGAATTTATTCTGTGGCTTCTGTGAGAATTGGACCTTACCAACACACTCAGTGTAAGTGTGGTCATGAAAATATAATAGTTGATGGAAGGTAGAAGTAATATTTTATGTAAATGTGTAGAGATATAAAGAGTATAAAAAGATAATAATATAGTCGCAACTTCAGAAACTTTAGGAGAGGGACAGAGAAAGGTATCCTGAAAATAACATCTGTTGTCAATAAAAGATGCATGCAAGTTGTAGAAAAGATGATGGAAATCAACAAAGGGATCAAGGGAGCAGAAAAGAAAGTCTGATTTTATCAGACTAGAAGGGAAATTTTAAGATATGAGACAGGTCCAGTTAAAGTCAGAAACATTAAGTATAAACAGCTGTTTCATAGAACTTAACACACATGAGCTAGTTGAACATAATAAATATGAAGTAAAATCGGGGTGGTGCTCAATGTCTTTTAAATGTAACTTTGATTAAATACTGATAGTATAAACCATTGCTAATAAAGGTGAGTCGACAGACACACTGTATTTACTCTATTAGCGTGCCTGGCAGTCAAAAGAGTTGAGCTTATAACTTCTAAGATATGTTTTTCAGTTTACATTGAAGGAGCGCTTCTAATAGAGCAAATACAGCGAGATACAGTGTTAGTATTGAAATAAAAACAACTACCTTGGCCAACCACTTGCTGCTGTGTAGGAAAGTTGGCCTGAAAACCTGAAGTACGATAAGGTCCTGTTAAAAATGAAAATAAGCCAAAGAAAAGAAAGGAGAGGAGAGGAGAGGAGAGGGAAGGTAATTATTACATGCAGTGTTAATAGGAATATATTTGGATAAAGAATATCATGCAAGTGTATTTTCAACAGTTTGCTGACCTACTTTTTCCTGCAAAATTTTGCACATATTTTTTATATAATTTTCTGTAATTTCGGTATTAATTTTGGGCCAAATAGATAAAATTGTCTATTATATATAATTATTGATAAAAATGTTCGAAAAGAAAACAGAGAAAAAAAATTATAGAGATTTATTTGGTAAAACATGACAAAAGTAAGCTTCGATGCTCAAAGGGTTGAAGACACAATAAAAGTATTTTTGTTGTTTTAGTATTACATGCTGTTACAGACACTGGAGTACAATTCATCATAAAAGCAAAGTTGTTTTCACAAAAATACTATGAATGCAAATACGTTTTGAATTGTTGGTACGTACCAGTTATTTAAATTAATTACAGAGTTTAGGGTTTCATAAAAAAAATCTTTGCACGTGACCAAAACAGTTTTATAGTTTGATTAATCAAATTTCGGGTAATATCGAACACAATTTCGCAAAGTTTGTGAAAACAAAGAGATGATACAAAATAATTAGGTTATTATAATAGATAATAAGGTTACACTGAAGATACTGTAAAAACATTAATTTTCAGTGGAATTTATTTCACTGCAAATTAATGCATTTACAGTAGATCATAAAAATTGAGAAAATTGGTTTTATTAAGATTATGGATATTGATAATAACATTAGCAATTATCTTACAGTGTAGGTACCCGGTATTAAGAACCATTTGATGCAAATAATTCATAATTATCATGCAAAAAGTCAGATGATGTAAAACAACGACGAGATGATTGCATTTCTTTCCTGTTATGCGTGACTGTCATCGGTATCGAAAAAGCGATTCAGACGCTTTCTGAAGCCAACACACAGTTGAACAGTGAAGCTTACACAACAGAGTTGCCAAAATGAGTGATAGTATCAGTATAAATTCACATATATCTGTATCGATAATGTCTTAATACAGGAACTCCACATTGTATGGAATTAACTTATCAACTAGGAAATATATGAGAGCAGTTAACGATCGAAGGACTTGCTTGATCATGGAATTTAGAGATTTTCGTGAGCACAAAAACTTGAGAGATGGATTTAAATATATTTTCGCTGAAAAGACATTTTGGGTGTTTTGTTTTGGAGACAATTTATTTCAATGATTACAACTAATGTAATTTGAATCTAACCTAACAAATTTGAAAACTACATCTAAGTAGTAGGGTTCTCTGAAAAAGCTTCATAATGGGTCTAGATAAACAATAGATCCTTATTATCCTAATTATCATTATTCTTATGTAAATTACTCATAATGCCATATTTCCGGGAAAGAACACTGTAGTTATTGTCAATTTTGTTTCTACATAAATTAATAAATTGATCACTAACTGCTCTCAGGCTAAAATACATAAACTAAATAGATAGGACCAGCTGTAAAATAAAACACATTGGAAAAATAATAAACAACAAAGATAGGAGAAGAAAATGGAGCAAAGTATACGATAGGCAGGACTGAATCATCTAGACAGACGTGTACATCTCACGAACTAATTCACATTCACGCATATGGATAAACAAAATAATACTCGTGTCTAATATTCACACAGTAAACACACACGGAATACAAAAACACATGAGATTCCACAACAATATAAACAGAGATTCGTTCTTTCTACAGTTATTACTCTAATCACATTCAACAGAGCTAAACCTACAATTGGTAGATCATCTAAATAACAGGTAGGGAGAAAACAGATAGTCGAGGGCGCTAAGATCTTCTTTCCAACAAGATACTAACAATGTGAATACAGTTACAAAATAAAAGACCACATCACTCTACAATCCAAAATACTATATAATATATACAATGATAATGAATGGCACAGGAGAAAAACTGCTTTGATCTAAAGGGTAACAAATCATAGTCTTTACAATCCTAAAAACTTTCTACCAACAACAAAATGTTATTCACAACTACAGACTACAGTTACCCCTACACTTGGCAGCCATTTTGAATATACCATAATTTACAAGATTCAAAGTTCTAATTATTAGCCAGGTGAGGTATGTAAATGTGTCGAAATGGGCGTAGTGCGAGTGGTTAGTGCTAGTAGCACTAATCCGAAAAAGTACTAGATCTAGTGCTAAAATGGCACTAGATCTAGCGCTAAAATGTGCACAGTGGGAGTGGCATTGTTATCGCATTGTCAACCACGTCGAATAATAGGAGGGGCATCAACAACCACTTTCATATGCAAACTGCAAACAGTATAAAACACTGGCAATATGCGTGAGATGTCCATAATAATACTTTCTTTATATAATACCGGATCTGCCGTAAATTCGCCCATCCGAAAAA